CACTTATTAAATTTAATTACATTATCATTAGAAGCATTAGAACTAAAAGTGTATACTATTTTAGTTCAATCGGACACTGGAAAGTGTGTCTAACTTACAAGATTTAACCCAGTCAATTAGTATCGTTAATACATGCTTTATAATGTGTCACAACTGACAGACGTGTTCCGAGCGATTAGCGAGCATCTTAGTTGTCAAAAGATCATTTTAATCGATTAGAATAAATGATTCATGCTCTTCATTCGATGGGAAATAATATATAAAAAAATCTACTTGTATATATTCCTGTCTGCAAAATGCAAAATGTAAGTTCTTCAATTTATGACTTAAGACTTTAGTTTTATGGTTTGATTTGACATATATTTCTATACTTTCTACTACAAAAATCTATTTCCGACATCTAAAATGTTCATACTAACACGCTCGGGTTTAAATTATATTATAACCTATTATAAAAGCTTCTTTAATTTTTAATAAAAGTGTAACATGTGATTTTCGGTCTTTTATCAGAAATCCTTTACAGAGATTATGAAAGAGCAAGCTTGTGCGACCACGGTATTGCTGATACAGATCAAACATCCACTCCTATGTTAATACAATAATACTGAATTCCAAAATTTGTGATGCCGTCAAAATGTAGTACCGTAAACTCATCAAAATATGATGTTAGACACTCTCAGACATCCCATAGAATACAATAAATTTAGAATGGGTTCATCTATATTCTCCCAAAAGATGTATTGTTGACGGGCTAAGATATCATGGATTTTATTATCAGAAGCAGCTGTGAAGATATACGATAATTAGCCTTGACAAGAGCACGCAACCTTACCAATGACGATAAGCTGTCGACTACCAAGCTCACTGTTTAGTTTTTAGATCGCGTAGTATATATGCAACAAAGTGCCGTCAATCTCACACCTCAGCAGTATACTCAAAGCTCTTTAAGTTTACTCTATCAAATGCTTTCTCTAGATACACAAACCGTAGGTGATTTTTCGGTTCTAAGCCAGATTGCCGTGTATCCCCTTCCATTTCTGTATCCTCCTTGAAACTTCCACAGCAATCCATTAGGTACCTTATTGTTTTTTCAAGTATTTTTCTGGACTTTATTACAAAAAAAGGTTTGTAAATCAGGCTCAACATTTTATTCATATCCTATTATAGCACTCCTTCCAGCCACTAGGCTCTTCTAATGTTTCCCTGTTCTGTGGCGGGTCCTATTGAAATTCTGATCGTATTTGTTCCTAGTTATGTGGATGGCTGGCTCAGCACGGGACCGGTTCCCTTACCCGAGCTACATTGGAAACTTCTGGCGGTTTAGCGAATTTATATGTATCCCTTGGCGAAGTAGTATTGTTAACATGGTGCCTGTAATGCTTGGCTCCTTTAATATAAACGTTGAATCGTCTAGTGTTAATTTAATTTGTACGTGTGAAAAAAAAATATAATAAAATGTTCGCTTAGATAAAGCTTACGATGGAATCCGGTGTAGACAACCTGAGGAGATTATATTTTTAATATCTTCGATAGATAAATATATATTTTTAAAAATAACATAAGAAGGAAAAGAAATTACCTGTGTATCGTTGGTTTATAGAGGTATCTACTGTGATATTTTTTATTGAGGAAATATTATTGTTATTTATTTTAACAAATATCACGTATCTTTCTACATTTTAATGACAGTTTTTAATGTCAGAATCGGAGTGTCCCTGTGGTAATCGCATATGGACTGCAATCGAGGTATAACTTTCAAAAAGATGGGTGACTTGATGGGTAATTAAAATGTGTATTATCACCAGCTCTTCCGAATTTGAGACTGCCTCTTAAGTAGGGTGCTTCTGCAATCGCTTACACCTGCCAATGTGATAGGTCATAGCCCATTATTCTTATTTTCTTCTGAACCCGTTAGTGGGGACATTAATAGCTTAATAGATTACGATGTTGTTAATAATCAAATCGTTTATGCGCCCTCTTTAACTTAATGCCATTTGTTTATGGAATAAATACAAATAAAATATTTTCTCTTTACTTAGCAACCCTGTAATTGAGAGGAGCTGGATTTCTAATTACTTACAATTAATCTCAGTAGCAAAGACTTGATAATTGAAGTATAGAATTAAAACGTTTAATAAACATGATGTTTATAAATTCGTATTTGTTTGAGTACTTCTAATAATAATAATAATAAACTTTATTGCACTCAATATGATACAATGTTTACAGGAGCTTATTATTTAAAAATATTGAGTAAACAAATATACCTAATATAATAATTTTAATACACTATAACACTTTTTCTAATCATTTGGGTCTTATTAATTAGTTCACAAATTACAATAGATATCTATACAGGTCTTCAGGTTTTTGTTACGTTGCGAAGTAAGCAGAAATAAATGTATTAATTTTCATACAGCAATTAAATAATTTAATGATACAAGTTATTAGTAAAATAGTTTGCTAGGGTAGTATTTAAATTAATGTAAAAAAAAAAAACTAAACGAGATCTATTAGTCCAAATTGGGCTACGTACTACTTTTATGCTAATATATATATATGTGTTATTAAGAACCCCACGACGGATTTATAGAATTAACCAAAGAAAGAAATAACAGTTTAATTATATTTCTACAGTTCATTAAAAAAAACGTGGCTATAATTGCTTGGTAACTCCTTAACAATAAGAGCAGCATATTATTTAAAAAAATATATTAAAAGAGACGGACATTTTAGGATGTATCCGCTTGCTATGACTCAAAAATTTATCAAATTTATTATTTTGTCGTGAAACCTTGTTTTTAAAACATTTAACACTAGATGTAGTGGTAAATGCCGGAATAAATACGTTTTTCTTCCTTCTTGTTAGAACTGAGTTTGATAATTACACCAGCGATTATGCTGCTTATTTAAAACACATCAGATGAGTTGTGACTCTCACACATCCACCTTCTAGCACGAGTACCTCATAGCGATCGTCCACACGACAATATTCTTTTGTAGCACTAATGATTTGCGCGTGCCGTATCCTAGCAACCGTGGGACGGTGACGTGTGAGACGACAATGCTGTGAAATTTGCAAAGGATCTAATTGCTAATGCGCTATAATATATTTTCCTTTGAAACGTTAATGGAAGCACTCGCTCATTACCGATGAATGATTATTTTCACTTTATGAAAAGTTTCCTGAATTAAATTAATATAATATGATGTGGCAATATGATACACGGGAGTATAGGAAGTGTTCGTATAACTTTATCTCTACCAAGAAAAGTTAATGAATGAAATTAAATGAATAATCATTATAGAATTACGAATTAAGCGATAAGTTTGTTTGGAAGTAAACTATACTTTATACATTTCAAGACGACCAACATCTTAGTCTACTGATCACGGAGACTGCAAATGACAAAAAATGGAAATTCAATAATTGCATTATTTCATTACATTCAAGATTCCGCACCTCAAAAGGAAAAAACGGAACCATTTTAGGATCACTTTGTTGTCTGTCTGTTTGTCTATCAATATCCTTTATTTTGGGAATGCGGGGAGATACCTCTCAAGAGAATCAACATAGGATATTCCACATTGACATACGAAATTTGGCAAGTAACATTGTTTTATAGTAACTAGTTCAAGGGAAAATGTAAAAATAATACGTTTTCAACAAAATCAAGTATTATAGAGGGTGGAAATTGTTAAATCAAAGCTACTAGTTCAAGCGATTTGTCGTATAATAAATCATAAATTAATTATTTTTCAAGATGCATTCATTTTTGTATATAATATTAAATTATCGGTAAGTAGTTTCATTCACCCTTAGCCGGTTTTTTGTTTAAATTAAGAGAATCACATGAGACATAACGAGACAGGCATTTTTTTTCAAGACTCATTGCATTCATTGCTTAAGATAAAAAACAAAATTGTCTGAAAAGTTTACTTAAATCTATATAAGTTTTCAATCTGAGTCTTATATCATTCGTTAGCGTAATGTAAAATCAGCCTAAATTGCTGCTAAAAGCAAATTTTCGATTTTTTTTTTAGAAATATGAAATATAATTCAGGCATATGTTCAAAGCCTACGTTAGTAAGTTGAAACTTATAAACATCATTGAACGAGGAGCACTTATGAGAAAAGGGTCCAGGAGCACAATGAAAATAGCGAAAACTCCCCCGGCGGATATCAACCCTTCAATCGTATAAAATCCAAAGGACGTAGACCATTCATTCGCCGCCTTTTGTCCCTGAGACTCTCCAAATAGGCGTTTAAATTACAAAAGCGTTTTAATTTTAATAATTCCGGTGCACGAGTACCGAACAAAGACCCAACAGTCATGAACTCCGTTATAGGCACAATGGAGCAGAAATGTAGTGCTTTTATCCCTGTATTAACGTAATAGACTTCCCATCTTAGTCATAACAATATAATTAATAAAATAGTTTCAATAGAAACATGTTTCGTTAGTTTGGATATGTGGAAATAATGCCGGATGAAATAATGGCAAAAGTAATATAAAACGCGAAAGAGAAAGATGTAGAAGCCACGGAAGGCTGTTAGAAGGTGATGTCAGAAGCCATTTATACATATGACAAGAGTAATGAGAGTGGACCTCCTCTACTTTCATAAAGCTGTACGTAAAGACCGTGCCTTGTGGAACTAGGTCCTCTTTGCGTACCCCGCAAGTGATGCGAGAATTAGCCCAAATCTTAATATATTCATAAGCTTAACATTAACTATATTAAAAGGTTTTGAAGACATTGACAGAAAATTATATGTTTTTTAATAATTATTATATATTGATTAACTTAATAAAATAATAACAACTTTATTTACAATAACAGCACAATAATCTTTGTGCCCTGTCTCCCATACTAGTTCGAACTGTATTATGGAAGCCAGTGCCTTCCTAATTACTGTAACAATTCAATATTGGAAGAGGTATTCTAGAAAAACATTTTATTTTTCATTTTGACATTTCCTACTTGTACACAAGTACGTTATGTGTACCAAGTGAGCTCTTTTCTATTCGTACATTAGTGCACGAAGTATAAAAAAACACTTATTGAGTTTATTGCGTTCAAATAGACAATATGGTTTTTTGTCTAATAATAAGTAGATACCTATTATCAAAGTGATTCAGAAGAATAACCAAGTTATCAACCCATGTCACATATGAATGATCACAAATGGATCGAACCGATGCCTTATACGATAGGAAAGGCGTACCCAAAGAATTTTTCTCCACCATTTATTGTTGTTTTTCAGTTCAGTGATTAATCAAATCCTTGCACTATTCAAATGCAAGTATGAAAGTCGTTGGTTTTTTTGATTTTCAGATAATTTAACTTAATAGCGCGTCAGCAGCACTATAAGAAAAGACTTTATCTCCACATTATTATGCGTTACAATAAATACTTCTAAAGTAATGAATTGTATCCCCCCTTCCTCTTACAATAAAATAAAAATGTAAGCTAAATATAAGGCACTGGCTACCCGTCAGCGGCTTCGCCTGCGTTCCCGAGGGATCCTCGAGAACTGTTTATTTGGATATCGATTCATATATTGACACGGATGTAATTACAATGACCAATTGAATAGTAATAATGTAGCTTTGATGAAAGAGTTTTTAAAATCTACAGTAGTATCGGAGCCTATTTGACCCAAACAAACATTGATTTCTTTTATTTTCACGCGCGCTATCCATAAGACTAATGGATATTCAACTATGCTTATGAGAACACGAAACCAGTAATGGGTCCGAAACGTCAATAATACTAAATAAAAAAACGATGTAACGATTTAAATATGTTTCATTTTAAACAAACAATAAAATCTTTCCTCTATGTAATATTAGTATGGATACGTCACATCATCATCACCAGCCCTTTTACGTCCCCACTGCAGGGGCTCAGGCCTTCCTTATGGATGGTTAAGGAGGATGGGCCGTGACCCTCCACGCTGGCCCAATGCGGATTGGAGGGAATTAACGACTGCAAATGCAGCCGGGACCAACGGCTTAACGTGCCTTCCGAAGCACGGAGTAGCTCGAGATAATAATTTTTAGGTCACCCATCCCGTGACCGACCTTTGCGAAAGTTGCTTAACGACTACGATCGCGGGCCGCGGCGTTTATCCACTACGCCACCGAGCTACTCTAAACATGAACATTGGTTTAAATGAGATATTCTAAGTTTTTCAAAAACTTCAATATTGTCATTTACAGAACCACTTTAGAAACTAAAGTAATTGATTGCTGGGAAAATTGAGTCCATGTAATCACAAGGACACTTATTTTAAGTACAATAATTTATATATTTAATATGGACTGTTTTACAGATGGTACAGAGAAACGTCGGGAGGCGTGTTGCGCGAGATACGCGACGGTGAAGGTGGTGGTCGCTACAGTCGGTCACACGACGCCCTCGCCATTCGGCGCGCTGAAGTAGCCGACGGTGGCCGGTGGGCCTGCCGCGCTGCCAACTCACACGGACACATCACCCTGCGCCTGCATCTCTCCGTACGCGCGCACCTAACAGCACATGCGCAGCCACATACACAGGTAAGCGTATGTGAAGGGAAAAAATTACGTCTTTTTACAAAATGACGTGGTCGAAGAACAAAATTGAGTTTATAGAGAAAGATTCCTTCAATTTATTGAAATCTTTTCCATTTTGGCTTTTTTCCATCCATTTCACATCAGCTGTTCTTTGATATTATCGTAGAAATATGTGCTTAGTCTTTCATGTGGACGCTTTTCCTCCCAGTATCTCCACTTCGCAAGAAACTTACATCACATCAAGTCTCTTTTGGAGACCTTTGTACCTGCTCTTGTCCTCTAAATCACTATTTTTTTTAACTCTTACCGGGTTTCTTTTGATTAATCTCTGGGCTACTTTAAGTTTATTAATAGTTTCTTTTATGAAAACCTAGGGTTCACAGCAGCGCCCTTTCCACTTCCTCGATACGCTCATGCCTGTCTCACTCCTCTCTCTACTCTTACTTGGTTAACGGTAGGAGGTTCTCCTTCAAACTGGCATAAGTATGTTTACTCACGCATCATACATAGTTTGTTGATTATATAATTAAATTAAATTTGGACCATTATTTTTATTAGCAAACTCGCAGGAGCATTAGTTATTATACCTATGTGTACATTATACTTGTTAATCTTTAAATAAAATTGTTATGTTGACATTTATTTAAAAAAAAAAGTAAGCCGACTGATTTTTTCGAGACGGGATTCAAACATGTGGCATATTGCTAACCGGGCCAGTATGCACCAGTTAAACTGAATAAAGCCGATATAATTGGTTAGCACAAATTAAGCTGAATGACATTCAATATACCGCACGTCTAATGGCGTTGCGGTGGACCCGTCACCGGCGATGACGTCAAGGGAACGGCTTTAATGCATCCTCAACAGCCTACACGGACAGGTGTACGGTAAATGGATGTCGTGTTTAATTTAGAGAAATTTGTCCGCTGTCGACTCTAAAATTAGCAAAACGGTGAATTTAATTATGAGGAAGGATGAAATACAGTTGCTTAATTGTACATTTTCTAAATGTATCGCAAACCCTTTCAGAAGTATATATATTTTGATAGCGATTTCTGGTATTACGTAACTTTTAAAGGCGCAATCGCTTTTTGAACGAATGATGACTAGAATGATCAATAAACATAATAAAAACTTAGTTACCCGGACGAAGGATACAACTCCTTCTATAGATATAGAAGGAGTTGTATCCTTCGTCTGATAAGCTACAAAAAGATACTCGTATTGCATTTACGTCTAAAATTAACGTCAAATCAACGGTATCGTGCTTTCAATATCTTTCAAAAAACGATACGATCCCAATAGGGGTGACGACAATTTTTTTGTTTGTCCGTCACGTAGACTGTTGAAAAATATTAAACACGTACCTACTTTTTAATTTTGCCGTCTAAAATTCAGTTTTCCAACATCTTTCTCTGGTATGTCTTTGGTATCGAGTTCACCATTTGTGATTTTAAATGCAAAAAGGATAAATGAATAAATTAAGATTTGTTTGCATTTAATAGTCTCTGTAATTACTGGACTGATCATATTTTTAGAATATATTGCGAGTATGATCTTTTGATAGATGATATTCTGAGATGAAGTTCTTCGTTCACGTATCACGTATGCTGATTATATAAAATAAAAACACTTAGTTCGAGTATCTATTGAATATCGAATTATTTGGTTTTTAACAATAAAAAAAATGTGTATCGTTGATTTATCGTCGATTACTTAACATATTTACAGTTCGTTTAATTACTATTTTATCATCACCAGCCTATTAAATACCAAAAACCACTTAACTTCTACTATGCAATCTTCATTATAAGCGACAATCTCAAACCTGATTATTAATCAAATGATTAAAAGATAATGTATCCCATCAAATCAGATAAGGTCTAAATGAGGGAATTTCGACATTGCTAAGTTACCTGTATTATATTTGCCGCAGTGGTATAATTAGCCGAGCAATTGGCCGGCTAGCCCTTTAATTGAATGGTGGCATTCAATTAACGGACCGACCTTCGATCAGCCGAGTATTTGAACGCAACGTTCTGCAATACTGCTGAACACAGGTCAGCCAATTAATTAACTGTCAATTAATCGAGGATACCAAAATTTATTTATTGGATAAGAAGTAGAACAAAATAAATATTGTAGTGGGTGATTTTATTTAAAACTATAAAACTTTTTGTTACCTGTAATCAATACAGATATAGGATTGATCAAAAGGATAATAACAAACTGCTTATTCGTGAATGGTCCGTATGATCCAATAAAGGAAACTAACATGCACACCCATTACGCAAATGAGTTAAGTTTAAACTTTCATAATAAATAAATACGATTATATAAAGACAAGATATACCGCAATTCAGTCGGCCACAGCGCCATCTATCGAAAGCAATGTAAGCAATGTATTTGAGTTCGATTGTTTTAGTATGTTTATTACAATTTTGGAATTCGGTACTAAAATAGTTAATAACAACGTAAAAAAACAACAAAGTTATTTTGGTCCTGTAGGTCACGTGATAGTTTAGAAATTCAATGAAATCTATCCGCCCAATTGAATGGCTATTTAACCAGTTGGCTGCAACATATACAAAACAACCGAGTAACTGTAAGCGCTTAAGAAGAAATAAGATCGCAATCACAATAACATTGCACAATTTCCCTAAATTACTCCAGACCATGACTCAAATCCAGTTACAGGTAGGCAGGGTGACATAACTGGCGCATCAAAGTTTTACGAATAAAAAGAATCTTCCTAGAAAGCGGTTGGAGCCATTGGAAACAATCTTATTTGCGATCCGCCTTTAAAGGGTCACCGCTAACAACGAACGGGACAAATGTTTGCCTCGCCCTTCTCAATCTGAAACAATCAGGAAGGGACCCTTTTGCCTACCGCATCTGGTAACTCGTCAAAACCATCAGAAATTCACTAACTCAATATAACTTTTGAACTACTCAGTAAAAGTTACAGTTGATGCAGTATTAGTAAATTCATTATAATTTAACAATTAACGAATACCTTTAATTCCGATGTTATAAGGAAGAACTTGAGTTATGAGCAACAGAATCGACAACGCTATTTAGATAACAATTATATCATTTTCCAGATGAGTATGATGATTATAAAATACGAGGGTCAAACTGAAAGTTCTTAGAACTGGCCACTTATAAACAATATAATAAAAAAATAATTCTAAAATTTGAAAATATAACTCTTTGCCAATATCACTGAGTATATATTTCATTCATTTGTCATTTGTTTTACGATTTGGCGGCAAATTGAAAATTGTCTGTGTCACGTCATCATGAATTTAACACGAGAAAATTTTCATGCAATGATTTTTTATGACTTTCGATGTCATTTAAGTCAACAAGAAAGTTATGATAGACTACGATTGGCCTTTCACGATGAAGCCCCATCTCGTGCGACTGTTTACAACTGGTTTAATGAGTTTAAACGTGGTCGCACTAATCTCACTGATGATTTACGTGAGGGACGGCCTTCTACGGCGACGACTGAAGATAACATCTGTGTTGTGCGGCGTATGATAGAGACTGACAAAAGAGTGACCTATCAACAGATTCGGACAAGCTTAGGCATCGGTATGAGTCAAGTGCACAAAATCCTCCACGAACATTTAGCGGTCAGGAAGCTTTGCGCCCGGTGGATACCTCATAATTTGACTGAGGCTCAAAAACTCCATCGTGTGGATTGGTGTCGTAAAATGATTGAAAGATTTAACGGAGGTGACTCAAATGCTGTGTTCGACATACTAACAGGTGACGAAAGCTGGATTTACTGTTATGATCCTAAAACCAAAAGACAATCTGCTCAGTGGGTGTTTCCTTTCGAGGAGTTGCCAACTAAAGTGAAGAGAGATCGAAGTGCGGGAAAAAAAATGGTGGCCTCGTTCTTTGGAAGGATAGGTCATTTTGCAACAATTGTGTTAGAGGATCAAAAAACAGTTTCTGCAGAATGGTACACTACCAATTGTTTGCCACTTGTCTTGGAAAAAGTTCGAGAGAAACGACCTCGCAGTAGGATCCTCCTTCACCACGACAACGCCTCGTCGCACACCGCCAAGCGAACGATCGACTATTTGGCGACATCAAACGTTGAATTACTGGGTCACCCGCCGTATAGCCCCGACCTCGCGCCTTGTGATTTTTATTTATTTCCAAAAATTAAAGAAAAACTTAAAGGAAAGCGGTTTATGAATGCTGAAGAAGCGGTGGCTGCGTATCGCGATGCCATTGAAGAGACCCCTAAGGACGAGTGGGCAAAGTGCTTTTCCCAGTGGTTCCATCGCATGCAGCGGTGTATTGACGTGAATGGACAATATTTTGAAAAGATATAATAAAACTAATAACTGGCTAATGTAATCAGTTTTTGATTTTCTAAGAACTTTCAGTTTGACCCTCGTAATTATCATTTTATTTGAAACTAAAGTGATATTTTAAGATTAATCGGTGGAGTTTGCTAGATATTTTACTCTGTTTATAGTAGTGCGAGGGCTGAATTGAATGTTGACAAGGCGATAGTGGAGGCCGGAGCTAGGAACGGAGCGGCCAGAGTTCAATTATAGGAGATAAATTTTAAAGACGTGGTACAGGCTCTTAGTCAACTCAAACCAAAAAAATCAGGGGGTCCTGATGGAATTCCTCCTTACATCTTCAAGGATTGTAGATCTGTGTTGGCAACCCCATTACACTACACCTATAACCTTTGTTTGAAACTTACTACATTTCCTAAACGTTGGAAAATAACTAGAGTAGTACCGGTTCCTAAAGGATCACTGCAACCGACAGTTGATGGTTATAGGCCTGTGGCTATACTCTCGGCACCAGCTAAAATATTCGAATCGATAATATACAAAAACATCTGCCCACAGGTAAGTGGACATTTGCACGATGCTCAGCACGGTTTTCGTCCAGCCAGAAGTACATCTAGCAATTTGCTCGCGTATATGTCAAAAATTATACCAGTGGTAGACGGTGGGGGACAGACCGATGGCGCTTATTTTGACTTCAAAAAAGCGTTCGATTTAGTTAATAATGACATGCTCCTAAAAAGCTAGCTAGTATTGGTTTCACCCCTCACTTACATACATAAATTTTTTGCTAGCTATATGAGTGATAGACAGCAGTTTGTTGAGTATTCGGGGTGTAGATCGAAGCCATATTTTGCGAGGTCTGGTGTGAGTCAGGGGTCGAATCTGGGACCACTGGCATTTGTTCTCATGATAAACGACTTACCTGAAGTAGTGGAGGACGCAATGTGTTTATTGTTTGCGGATGACTTGAAGCTGTCACTACCTATTAGAACTGAAACCGATTGTGAGAGACTACAAAAGGACATAGACAGAGTGGTTAAGTGGAGTAAGGATAACGCATTAAAGTTTAACACGTCGAAATGTGTCACCATCAGCTTCTCTCGTTCGTGCTGTCCTATCCGGTATAGGTATCATGTGGAGGACACACCGATGGTTAAAGTCACAGAGGTTAGGGACCTTGGCTTGACAATCGCGACCAATCTCTCATTTCGTGATCATATCACAACTATTTGTAAAAAGGCCTTTCAAACTCTAGGATTCACCTTACGTACTGTTCGTAACTTTACTAATGTGAAGGCTATTGTTGCTCTTTACAATACATTGGTTAGGAGTCAGTTAGAATGTAATTCATTCATTTGGTACCCCATGAAGTTAAATATATTTCTATGCTCGAAAAGATACAAAATAAATTCATTCGATTTTTGTATATGAGACTATACGGAGTGTATCCTTTCTATCCACTTATGTATCCAACCTTATTTGTATTGGGAATGGTGGGGTAAAACGAACTGAGCGTCAGGAGGGAGCTTACACTGGCTTCCTATATCTTCAAAATTATTAGAGGAAATATTAATAATCCTAATACATTGGAGTCAATACAGCTATATGTACCGGACAGATACGTGTGGCCACGCCGAAAACCATAGTTGTTGTTTGTGCCGCGCGCGCGTACCAACCTGATGATGCAGGCGCCTTTGACGCGGGCATACCGCACTCTTAACCTTATCGCTGATCGAATAGACATATTCATTTGCTCACTGAATGAATTCACAAAGACTGCATTGTATATCATTTGTTATATAAGTCAGTGATTTCAATATGGTTTATATTGATTGTATTTGATCAATTTGGCATTTGCGATGCTATACTGGAAAAAAATTGAATGGTTTGTATTCATTTTAAATGTATTTTGTTATTTGAATTTTTAATGCCCTGATTATTAAATATGCCAAGAATTAATTTTTTATTTTTATATATTATGTTTGAATATTTAATGACTATTAATTTAATGATTTTATGATGTTTTAATGTTAATTTGTGTATTATAATTTTAATAATTTAATAATTTTGCTTTCACTATCGCATTGGGGCACACCTGTAATGATAGTTATAAGTTACGAAATAAATAAATAAATTTTGGATAAGGTTTGCACCCTATGTACCGTTACTAATGCCATTAAAATTATAGATTTTTAGTAAGAAGTTCTAAAGATATTTCTTCATTTGGATACCACTCCGAGATGCAATATAAGATAATGGCGGAATCCCATGTTAAATCATATTTGTGGGCTGGAGGCCTCAACCGGAAAATACTCTTAAAGAATTTTTGTACTATACTATTTTCTAAAATATTTGGTTTCAGAAGAAGCGCAAGAGCTGATTTGCAGCTACTTTACGAATACGGTCCCTTGCGAATATTGGCTACCATTTTTATATAATTGTTTTAAGAATTTTAGAACTGCATTAGTAGAAGATTTGAATATCTCAAGATTATTTCTGTTGCAATAATCGCGCTATTTTTTAATATAGGCATTATATTGTTTCATGAAGTTTGATGACAATGATACTAACATAATATCTATGGAGTGCTCCAGTACTTCTCGTCGGTGCAATGCCTCCCGGATAATGTCCCTACAACTAGAGTCAGGTTGGCAGAGTTGTTGCGACTGCTGGAATGAAAGATAATAGCATCGACAGTTAATTTAATCATCTCATTTAAAGATCTGGATCTCGGAAAACTACCGAGATTATACATCGGTTATTGTATTATCTTTGGATTTAATGTAAGAGGCTAATTCAATTAGTTATTGCTCTTTGCACCACTGCCAAATCTTTTAATTCTGTTCGTGAGGTGCGGATATTGAACGGTTTATATAGAAAACTGTGGTAGAATTATCAACACGTAATAAAATTTGGCAATTAAATAGATCGTAGGCGAATACTTTGATAGCTCTAAGTTATTAATATGGAGTTGACGTTTATCATGTGACCACGGCCCACTCGCAGTCTCACCCTCGCATGCTGCTCCCCATCCCGTAGTTGATGCGTCAGAAAAGATTTCGATTACATACATGTCATCTTTAATTATATGTTCGGGGTAGTTTATTGCTCTTATCTACCAATCGAAATCATCTTTTAGTGAATGAGGTAAATTTATTAATTTATCAAAATTATCATCCGGATTAAGTATTTTTTGGTGTACCTATAATAAGCTATATTCAACTACAGGACGTACTGCGATTAGTAATCCTATTAATCGTGCAATCTTTCGGATAATACATTGAGATTGCACTGACATATTAATTAACTCATTTTTTATACAAATATAATTGTCCTTTGGCAAGCATATTTGCATCTCATGGGGGTCAATTATGTATCCTAGAAATTTTCATGAGATAGAAGGTATAATGTTACTTTTCTTTTTGTTTATTTTAAAACGTAACGAAGTGAGTAGGCTTCTGACATATGCTGACATTATGAATACATTCTGAATTAGAATTACCTACAAGAAAAAATCGTCCAAATAACACGTAGATTTGAAACCGGCTATTCTTAACAATTTTATGACCAGTTTCATCAATTTTGTAAAGGTTTGTATTAAAATAATTTTCCATTCCAAGTGAACCTCAATACCTTTCTGGAGGATTTATGAATCGGTATAAAAAAATATGCATCTTCGAGATCGACCGTACCCAATGAACAATTTTGAGTAATTAATTTTTTCACCGTTCGTAAATCTTCTACTTTAAAATGTATTAAATGAATTTATTTATTGATTTTAGATTTAATATTAATCTCGCAGAACCGTCCGGTTTAGGTCTTAATAATATGTTTAATATAAACTGGTCATCGCATGGGTCGCATTCAGATATAGCACTGACTCGAAGCAGTTTATTTATGACTGACTCTTTTGACTGACAATACTCTGAATTTGAAAGTTTTGAAGCGACATGTGGCGTATGTTCCAGCGAGGATCAGGATAATTTAATTTTGTATCCAAGTAGTCCAAGTATCTAATATGAATCGGTCTTTAGTAATCTGAAGCCATTGTGTTGTAGGTTTTATATTTGGTCCTTCGGAATTTTGAGGTCACTACTAAATTTATTTTCGGCCTTAGCTGTCTTCAAGGCCTTAGGCAAGTTTTCACCGAACAAGACCTTATCTATCATTGTGTTGTTCATGTGTTCCTTAGATCTCTTTTCAGAAAAAAGAGAACAAAGTTTCTTCTTTGATTGAATTTTTATGTTGAAAATCACAAAATCTATTACTTTGCCGTGAAGGTTTAGTTATTAAAGGCAAAAACTGGAACGCATTTATATGTACAATTAAAGTTATTATTGTACTTTAATAAATTAAAAAACGGAATACAATCGGATAATGTTATAATAAGCTTTATTTGACTTCACAATTGAAAATTTAAGCTAGAGCTTTTACATAAATTATGCAACAATAACAGAAATGCAATTAATAACACTAATTATTAACATTAATTAATATGATTGTACCTATCCATCCTGTACATATTGATATGGAAGCAAAAGAAAAAGTTTAGTGCATCAGGTAAAGTTAGAGTCGTAAAATCAAAAGCTTTTTCAATTCAATAGTGGTATTAAAATAGTTGAGCATCGCTTCATTCGTGACTTACTAAAATATAGTAGAGTAAGATCCCAGACCTCAGTATTCTCCAAGATATAAATAATAATTTGTTTAAGCCCCCAGAATATTTTTATTTATCAAATTAGAAATTTTGTTTTTCTCTGGCGGTCCACAGAAAGAAGGTATAACGAAAATTTATCCTACACATATTATAATAGGTACTAATTCAAAAAAGAATATTGACGTCTATGGAAACTGGACTACAATCAATATTCGAACTCACGGCTATGAAAGCTTGATTAAACTTTCGTCAAATAAATAGCAGATGTGTTTGTATTGTAAATATTATCTCTCCACTGATTAATACAACTTTTCGACATATCCATTAACTTAATTACCTGCAGTGTTTTCATTGTGCCTGATATTTATAATAATAGCAAGTCAAGTAAAGCAAATATGGTGTAATTAATTTGTGTGGTGTGAAAAATAAACGTAGCTACAAATATATCCGCTCACGGACAGATAGTTCGATTGACATAATTCGATTTCACCTCGAGGTGTAACCATGAAAATCATTATGGTTTCACGGGTTATCATTATATAATTTTTTTTATTCAACAAATTTCCAAACATCTTATCGTTTTTCGTTAAAATGTTTGTTAAACTTGTTGTTATAATTCTTTATCAATTTAACTCTAATTTAGTCTATTCTGCTCGTTAGTTCTTTAGTCTGCGAAATTGAAGCAAATGGGTAAGCAAAAGTGTATTATATTGAGCTACTGCGTGCTTTGGAAGGCGCGTTAAGCACTTATGAAAGACCTCCAATCCATACTGTGTGTGCGTGGTGGGGCAAAGTCCATTCTCCATTGTTTGATTTGTTTCTAGAATCGAAACAAATCAAACAATGGAGAATGGACTACCCCACTTTTAAACTTTGCACTTTCCATCAATAGGCTGATGGTTATGAGTCTAACTTAATTGTTAGAACTATTACAAGTTATCATTAATTACCATCAGGTAGTCAACAGCGGTGGAACTGCTACGATCAACTGCACATGGGGTGGATGGCCAGAACCAAGGCTGGAGTGGCTCCACAACGGAGTACCATTGGGAGCGGGTGTCGCCGGTGGTAGGATCCGCATCCAGAACAATGGAGAACAACTGATCATATCATCAGTACATCGCGCCGATCGTGGTGTCTACCAATGCTTGGCCCGAAACGAACGAGATTCTGCTCAAGCAAGCGCTGAACTGAGATTAGGAGGTGAGGATAGTTACTTAATTATGGTTGACTTTAAACATAAAATCGAATTATATACAAAAAAAACTTAGTTCAAAATAGAATTTCAAATAAAAATTGATTTTTTGCATTATTATTTGTCGAAATAATAAGTAACTTATGCCCCTATTATTGGTCCAGTAATCGTGAACTTCCAGAGCGAGTGACGTATGAATATATTTTACTTACAGATACTGCGCCTGAATTACAATATACGTTCATAGAACAAGTGCTGAGGCCGGGGCAGGTTGTCACACTCAAATGTTCAGCGGCAGGATCACCGTCTCCGCATTTCTCATGGCTTTTAGATGGGCAACCATTAAACACCATCGCTAGAGGGCACAGGTAGATATCAAAAGAAATTTCCCTATAACTTGAGATTTTCAAGTAAATGCGTCATTATTACCCATTGCAGAACTTATCTAATTTTAGTACAGCTCCCACAAAGAGTAGAAGTTAATTTGGTCGTCTAATTGATATATAGAGTTATAACATATCTAATTAAACTATAAATAAACATAGTTGGTATTAAAGCTTACGTTTTCTTGAAAAAAAATGATAATCATCACAGTTTTGTATAAGTAAAGTTATATTTTCTTTCTAGATACAGCGTAGAACAATTTGCAACAAAAACAAACGATGTGGTCAGTTATCTGAACATTACGGCAGTAAGGTCTGAAGATGGTGGTCTGTATACCTGCAAAGCAGCGAATCCTCTTGGCGAAGTTTCGCATACCTCCCGACTTAATATTTATGGTAAATTACTTGAATTACATTGACTTTTAAACGAACTCTATTTCTACTTTACATATGCAAATCACTTAACCATAAGGGATGTTCTGCCAAATCTTTTATGAGTTACAATATATTTGTAACATTTTAGGTCCCCCTTATGTACGATCAGTTGGACCAATCAGAGCCGTTGCTGGACGCGAGTTGGTGTTATACTGCCCTTACTCTGGCTATCCAATAAGGTAAGCTCGATTCGTCTATTAATTTTCAGGAACAGTAACTTATATTTTCTTTTATAATGATTATTGGTATGACTTTCAGTTCAGTAAAATGGGAACGAGATGGCAATCCAATTGTATGGGATAACAGCATCGATGGTGCTTTAAGGATAACTAGGGTGGATCCTTCTCATGCAGGGACCTACAGTTGTGCAGTAATGGGATCACACGGGGAAATAGCTAAGAGAGACCTGCAGCTAGTCGTGAGCAGTAAGTATTTAAAAACAATAACATTATTTTAAATCAAACTCTTCATGATTCAACAATTTGTCTTGTTTATTCTTTTCTAATTTAGAACAATAGAGGTACAAACGTTTTCGTGAAATAGTATTCTTTTTAATTCTGCATCATGGAATTTATCATATTAAACTTTTTTAGATCCTCCAGAAATCGAACCCTTTTCCTTCTCTGCAAACCTGCAAGAAGGTAAAAGAGCTCAAGTAAGTTGCAGTGTAACATCTGGTGATATGCCCGTCCACTTCACATGGCTGAAGGATAATTCACCAATACCTTCCAATTTACAGGTCAGTACTCTATCACATTTTGTCTTTTACGAGTATAAATTCTGAATAATGATTTTGACCCAAATCAAAGCTTTACTGGACACAATATGTTACTATAGTGAAATCTGCTATTAAAAAATCTATATACCTACAGTAGGCAAAAGAAGATTTGATAAGCTCCAATTGCGTAGGTGGAAGAACGAGGCGCCGATTTTTTCAGCAACCTCGTATTCAAAGAAGTATTTGCTCGTCACAGCGGGCTTTACACTTGCGTGGCCTCCAACTCGGCGGCCAAAGTAAACTACACCGCCGAGCTGGTGGTGAAAGGTAACAGCACGGATCTTTAAGCACCAGCACCACGCACCAGATCTCACAGCACTTCATGCTTGCACTAAAAGCACCAAATTCTTATTCGGATTTTATTGTTGTTTTATTAAAATCAGCTCCAAGGACTGCACCTAGAATTAGATGATTTGAATATTAGATATGGTCACTTTCATTTGAATTTTATTCTTGATAATAGATTTGCAGAGCTTGTAACATAATAACAGTTATACACAAGTGAGCATAACTGTTACTATATTCGATCATTTTTACATTTAAATAACTATATTGATATTTTTCGTGAAGGCGATCGATACTTTTTATCCCTTAAAATATTCTTTCCTGTGTATGTTAGTTCTTCGTCGACTATTATATTTCATTTCTATATCCTGGTATAAACAACAAATAACTGCTTTACGTTAAATCACATGTGTTCGATTTTTGTTTTGCACAGCGTTGGATTACAGATGGCTAAACGGAATGGTAACTGTCCAAACATTTTAAAGCACTTATAAATTACTAAAATAATTAGGAACGGGTGAGAAAGTAACCAAAATAGCTCATGTCTCTCGCCTTTTTCTAATTACAGTATTCTTTGTCTTTAACAATAAGTTGTTTTTTAAACTAAATTTATTTAAGGTGTTAATAAGAAAAAATCTGTTTGCTATTTGATGTGAATTTATCGCTCCTCGGAACAGGTGATTTTGCTATTTTGTAAGTTCTATATTTAAGTAATCATAAAAATTTTAATTTTTATCAAAGGTTTTGTGTGGTTCGAATTAAAACTTATTTGAAACACGTATTTGATCTACACATTATCTTGTTACAAGTTTTGTAGCACTGCTAAGGTATATAATTAAGAGCTTTATTTCCTTTCATGCTACAGTTTCACCTAAATGGGTGATGGAACCAAAAGATGAAGCAGTCCTAGCTGGAGAACCTCTGGCACTGCACTGTCAGACTACAGGCTCACCAACACCACAAATCACTTGGATGAAGCAAAGAGGTTCGTGTGTCATCTCTTTTTGTCCAATTATGTACAGTCAAGTTAAGCAAATCTATCGAAAGTCTTCCCTTGGTTTTAAACCTTACTATATTGACGGTAAAGTTTAAAATATATGGTACTGTCGTCTAATAACGCCCACTATTTTTGGCCGCTAAGGCGCTCAAAAACCATCTGATATAGCTTTAAATTTAATTATACCGTCCTTAAAGATCTGTCAGTGTGGGACTGTTATTAAAATATATGATAGTTATTATTTTAGCCCTCCAGCGGTTGAAAAAAGTGGGCGTTACTAGACGACAGAACCTTAATAACATATTGTGTTAATCTGACATTTTGTGTTTACAAAGACCAAACTGTGGAATAAAAAAGACCCGATCCAAAGGTATTTCGAGGAAATAAACAGTACAACTTTAATAGAGTCTTAGTTGAAATCAAAAATAAAGAGTTCCCTCGAATGACACATTGTGTTTTCAGAAACTTTGTTATCATTCTCGTTCTGTTATCGTACTCGTCCTCCTCCTTTATTTCTTTATCCTTACTTAGTATGAATATATGTGCTTAGGTCCAACGTCAACAGACTACATACCGCTAGTCAACCTCGGCGGTAGGTTCCAGTTTCTCTCAAATGGGACGTTGTTTATCGAGTCAGCGATGTCCTATGATGAGGGGAATTACATGTGCAAATCCGAAAATGGCGTCGGATCACCGCTCACAAAAACTATCACCGTAGCAGTTAATGGTATTTTGCCATAATATAATATATCATTATTACAATTTCATCTATAAGATCAAAAGTAATACATTAAACAAACTCACAAATCTGGAAAACTTTTAGATTTGTAATTTTGATTAATAATTTATAAATTGCACACTTCAAAAAGAGTTTTATGAAATGTAATTTTGTTAATGATACCGTCAGAGCCGGCTCGGTTTGAGCTGACGTCACACAACATGACGGCGCGCCGCGACGCCGCCGCGCGGCTCGAGTGCGACGTGCGCGGGGACAGCCCCATCCGCGTCACGTGGGCGCACAACACGAACCATCTAGATCTTAATACGTATAGGTAACACTACAAGCGTACCACGCTCACGTGTAGATGTAGCTTCATATCTCATTGTTGATATAAGACCATGATCATAATTGCTACTGGATAACTTAGCGAGAAGAGGCTTACGTTTGCATACACACTGGATATTACTCAATACCGATACCAGAAATGCAACGTGACTTTCGGAGCAAGAAAATAATTAAACGACTATCCAATTATCAGTGTTTGTAAAGAATTAATTACTTACTTACTCAAAATTCGCTAGAATTGTCACTTGCGAAATTAATGCGCGACGTAAGAAAACCGTGACTGACGTTATCTCATTTATCCGAGCGAACCGAACATGGGAAACATATTAGTTTGGATTTTTGTCAAAGGTTATGATTGTATTCTTTATCTATAATGGAAGAACATTAGAACAAGTAAGCATTACTCATCACATTATTTTTTGCATTCACAATGCTACACTAAAAAATGTTATAAGAATATTTAAAAATTGTTATAGCATTCATTTTTCATAAAGAATATTTTGCAATAAGGAATTGTGAATGCAAAATTCATTATCATTATCATCAGCCCTTTTACATCCCCACTGCAGGGGCTCAGGCCTTCCTTATGGATGGTTAAGGAGGATGGGCCATGACCCTCCACGCTGGCCCAATGCGGATTGGAGGGTATTACCGACTGCAAATGCAGCCGGGACCAACGGCTTAACGTGCCTTCCGAAGCACGGAGTAGCTCGAGATAATAATATTTTGGCCACCCATCCCGTGACCGACCCTTGCGAAAGTTGCTTAACGACAACGATCGCGGGCCGCGGCGCTTATCCACTACGCCACCGAGCTACTCACCGAGAATGCAAAATTGATCAAATATAATAATTACAATAAATTTTCATCTTTGTCGAAAATTTAAATACTTTTAAAAATATTTCTTTCGGCTGTTTAGGTGGATTGTCTGAACTTTGATAAAATACTCTCTGTAGTAGCGAAAAGTAACGAGTGGTTGAAAAATACGTCAGTCCTTAGTTAGTTGCGATAGGTCATGGGTTCGATACCCATCTCAGAGTGTTTGAGATAAAGTGGATTTTTTAAGCATTTTTCATTGAAACTATTACTAATTTAAATGTATATTCCATAATTCCAGTTCCAGACTAAGCATCTCTGAAGCAAAGACTGATAGTGGTTTAAGGTCCCATCTATACATCAGCCGCACCGACAGGTCTGATTCCGGCGTCTATAAGTGCCAAGCCGTCAACGCCTTCGGTCACAGTGACCATTACATTTACCTTTCCGTCCAAGGTAAACAAAATCTATTTAATATTTTTATACAACACTACCTATTTTCCGGCGACTTTGCCCGCGCATTATAGCCATGACAAAGGAGCATTATTTAGCTCTCCGTAGGTGAATAAAATTGAAATCGATTCTGTTCAATACAAACAAACAACCAATCAAATCTTTCCTGTTTCCAATATTAGTACAGGTGATATTCATTGTTATCCCAATACTCAATATTACGCTACACCTGTAGAGATGATCAGCGAGTGCTGCATGTATCCACGTTGTGTGTGTGTGTGATGAAAACTAAACATTATAATTATAAGTAGAGACATTGATGTGATAGTGTTATATTATATGCTATCTATATATTTTGAGCACCATTTTTATATAAGTATCATGTTTAACGTGGATTTAACATTTTTTTCTAATTATTAAACACTTATTTCTTATTTATTTTTTCTTCAAATGAGGTTCAGTTTTCTAACATAGCATTAGAGAATTGTAATATTTAACAAATATTTATTTATTAATTTAATATTTTACGCATTTTTTAATATGTTAGCATTCTCTACCAGTCAATCTTGGAAAGATGTGAGGAATCCAAAACGAATAGGGCGCACAATTATTAAGAAATACAATGTTTAACAAATAAATATATTTATACACAATAAACTACATAATTCATACATAAATTTATATATATACAGTAGCAAACATCAATGATCTTTGTAATAAACAGAAAAACCCGACACCCCTCACTCCCTGTCTGTGACGGAGATCTTGAGCCGTGCGGTGCGACTGTCGTGGAGTCAGGGGTTCGACGGCAACTCGCCGTTGGTCGGTTACTCGGTGCAGTACTGCCCGCTGTCCGCGCAGGGCGCCATCCGTATCAACCAGTGGGACTCCGCCGTCACGCTCAACGTCTCCCTCCACGCCGCTACGCAATCACACGTCACGTGAGTTCATTGTTAACAGCAGGCGTAGCATGAAGAACTAGAGAACATCTTGCCTACTACCAAAGGGTCAAGAATGTGATACATATCGTATGGACGCACGCGAGAAAAGGAACATTTGAGTGTAGACAAAATGTTCTCGAATTTGTCATGTTACAAAATCGAGAACGTTTTGTCTACAACAAAGTGTTTTTCAGCTTGTTGATGGAAGCCGTACTTTTTCTCGCTTTGTAACACTCGTGAATATTTTTAAGTAAAGAATAAATGTATTATCCGATGCTGACAAACAGCATTTAAAGGCGTTTGCTATATGAAAATAAGATTAAGCTACGATAATATTAAATAGAGAGTTTTAACTACCAATAAAACTTACCTATTATTTTTCCTAAAGATATCCGGAATCCATCTTGAGTCAAGCATCATCCTTTTTGTGACGTTTCCGGTCCAAAATACTACCTCCCATCTTACTTCCGGCGCCTGTGCTGCCATCTAGTTTGCGGGTAGCGAACCAATGACTTTTAGGCACGAACGCTTACCGTCATTATACCTGCTCTAGATGCACCAGGTAGAACTTACCTGGATTCCGGATATCTTTAGGAAAAATAATAGGTAAGTTTTATTGGTAGTTAAAACTCTCTATTATTTGTTCCGTTCGATATCCGGAATCCATCTTGAGTGATGTGTTTGTTATCTCCTGGTGAGTGCCATTGGTGACGCTATAATGTGTTGCAGGTATAAAAAGTCAAATGTAGTCTGATGAGAAAAAATAATGCATATTATAAGTATATTATGCTATTACATACATAGTACATATATTATGCTGTTACATAACAATGCAATTATAATAATTATTCAAGTATTTCGGTAATCTAAGCTAAATAAATATTGGCTTATCTGTTATCGGTCAATATCATTAATGAATTGAATGGAATAATAAAAATGTAAATACATAGATATCGGAATTTTCTTGATTGTCCGATTTATCAGTTTTCGATAGGACTTCCTAAAAGTATATTCTTGGCGCCAGTTTTACAGTTTCAGTAATTTATCCATCGGAAACAATTCCAGTCAATTTAGAGATGGAACTGCAGATGTAATAGACCCTGAAGAATCTTCTACATTATGTGCTTCTATTTAGCATTTTTGAGAACAGAGTAGTTAACTCGTGAAAATTACTTCTTTTTGGGGCTCTTTCAATACAAAAATTGATCGCGTGTCCAATACATGCAATCGAATGATTTGTGTAAGTTAATCATTTCTATCCAGGCTGTCATAATTACTATTATCTGTTTTTAATACAAAATGGGGTCATAAGACAAAAAATCATTTTCGTTACTTCAAAGGTTAAAAGGGTTAAATAATGGATTCTGCGACCTTGAAGATTGTGAAATTGTGCTAAATTTCCAGCAACTTAAATAGAGTCAATTCTGCCAATTTCTACGTAAAATTTCCATTGTACTATATACCTGAAGTCTAATATTATTTGTGCAATGTCTTCCTAACAATTCAATATTGACAGATATATTTATTATTTTATGATCTAGTAACAAGAATGTGTCATAAAGGGTTGTAGTCGAAGCGCTATTGACCCTCCACCATTACGCCGACATTAGCAGAATTTCCCTACCGGGCACTTGTTATTTGCAGAGTTAATACTAGTAGATATTTATAGTCGCTTTACATTAACTCGATAGTTTCAAGATTTTCTTTATTTTATTTTATTCTGCCCGACTTTTAAATAAATTTTCTGAATTTCGGGGGATGAACACCTGTTGCCATACCTATTGCAGTATTTGCGGAAACAAATCGTCAGCCAAGACACTTCGTCCCATTTTGGAACAATCATAATGTACTTACTTGCCTTGACGCTTACTGGAGTCGAGAAAGTATTTGCGGAATCATGTTTGAATAAGGCCAGCTTGCATTTTCACTGATGACGTCATGCGTTATGACCTATTAGTTTACTCGTTCGTCACATCCATTGTCATGTACCTGGGAATGACGTGTGCTTTTGTCGATGGAATAAGTTCACATCTGGTGAACGTTGGGCTGCTAGATTTAGTATTCAGGCTATGCATAATATCTGAATCTGCCTTGTTCGTGTCATAATTACAATAATATCCTAGATTTGGTCCCCCATCTTTGTTTATGTACGGGAATCAGTACAGTTCTCTTAGCATTTACATCTAGGCATTCCGCGAAATGAAGACTCGCGTGAGTAATTGCCTCGAGTTGAGCACTCGAACAGATTTCCTATGCACCTGTCCTCGGATGTTGAGCGATTTGCGTTGCATTTATTGGAAGGTATCATGATACAACAGTTACCATTTAAAGTCATTCAGTACTGGGTCTGGTAATCCGAATAGGTAGTAATAGTTTTAAGCTGTCGATGTTAGTATTGCAGTGTGCGACAGTGTAACCACCCTCTTCGAATCACAAACGAGGCAAAGTCGAGTCTCCCCATTAGGAACTGGGCCTGTCTGAGGGACTAACCGCCTTGTACAATCTGATGCTGAAGTGCCATGCGTAGCGGGAAGCGTTCGGTTCAAACAGGGACTTCACTAAATGTTCAGTACTGAGTCTGGTAGTTTGATTCGGTGGTAATGGTGATCTTTGGGCAACTGTCGATGGTAGTATTGCAGTGTGCGATAGTGTAGTCACCCTCTTCGAATCACAAACGAGGCAAAGTCGAGTCTCCTCATTAGGAACTGGGCCTGTCTGAGGGACTAACCGCCTTGTACAATCTGATGCTGAAATGCCATGCGTAGCGTGAAGCGTTCGGTTCAAACAGTGACTTCGCTGAATGTTCTGTACTGAGTCTGGTAGTTTGATTCGGTGGTAATGGTGATCTTTGGGCAACTGTCGATGGTAGTATTGCAGTGTGCGACAGTGTAATCACCCTCTTCGAATCACAAACGAGGCAAAGTCGAATCTCCCCATTAGGAACTGGGCCTGTCTGAGGGATTAACCGCCACGTGTAGTCGCCTCGTGCTGAAGTGCCATGCGTAGCGTAAGGCACTTCGGTTCCGACAGGGACTTACCCCTGACTTCCCCGGCACTTCCCGGCACCTCGTGACCGCGTTGGTCACGATGCACCAGGCAACGCCGAGGAAGTTCAGAACCAGCACGCACTGCTCGAAGTTGAGAGACCACCCTAAGCGCTGCTATTGTGGTAGCGCAGTTGTTGTGTTGGTCTATGTAGCAAAGTTTTTGAGTACCGATGGCAGTCCAAAGAGACACGTCAGTTGCATTAGGTAGGTTGTTGTATGCCAGTCTCAAGAACCTGTGAACCAGATGTTGTTCGGCGATACTCAAATGAAAATACTTTTGGCTCGGATATATTTTCGTAAACCATTCGTTTTGTATGAGAATGTTCGGAATACGAAAATTATTGATCAGTCGAAAAGGTTTTATTTTGACAAATCAGTGTCGTTTTAAATGTAATTGTCGGGCTTTAACATTAGAAAAGGAAATGATACAAAACAGGGTGTTTTTTGTAATCTCTAGTATATTAATTTGAGCATTGCAAACGATATTTGAAGATGGCTTAAAATCCCACGCATAAAAATATAATTTTTATACCATCACATACCTACATAGTTTAGATACCAAATGATATAGTTAAACACTTGTATTATGGAAATCTGAAACAACGAAGGTAACAACACCCAGACCAGAGACTATAGAAAAGCTCATTATCTGCATTAACATGACCGAGAGTGGAATGCGGGAGCTCAGAAATGGTGACACCTTGGAACTGGTCAGCCACTCGCCCAAGATCCGACATATGCAATCTGGAACATCCTGATTGTTCCATAAAGTTACAGATCGCATTAGATAGCCCCATCCAATGTATCATGTCATGCATTGTATTTATTTCTAAAGTTTAATGAACTGGTCTCATTACCATTTAAATATTGGTGTGTACTTCTGGTAATCTACCTTGAATCAACTTGCAGTTGCAACCATTTTATGCACCCCCTTGTTTTTTGGGTGCAATATACTATTATCAAAGAAGAACTTGTTCGTTCTTCCTATCAGCCAAAAGACGCCCCGAACGAGTGGTGGGGAAAAATGTTGGACGATTCAAAAGAGAAGTCTATTTGGATAAATATTATTTTGACTTTGACTTTGAACTCTGAATTTGGCAAAAATTTCTGTAAAGGCACCTCAAAAACTTCTCCACGGCTCTGAACACATCAGTGCGTCTGCCACTTAATATTTGGAAAATATAATCCTTGATGAATGTTGATTAGATTTTATCAAAAAGCTCTTTAGCATTAAGGTCTTTAGCAATAGATCAATCTACAATTTGTTGTAAACTAGTTCTAAACTAATTGTTTCATACTTTAATTCTGTTAAGGTATTTGTTAATGCTGTAGATTGTACCATTTCTATAAAATATAACTATAATGATTTCTATTCTCGCAAATAAAGATCTTAAATCATCAATTGTTGTAGCAGAAACAAATCGCCTCAACTTATAATTTAATTTGAGCATGTTTTATCTAATTTGGTTTCACCATAGACTGGGTCTTTAACGTTATTAAGAAAAAATAAATCCTATTTGAACTTATGTTGATTGTTTTACTATAGTAGGTACATAAAGAAAATTATTACCAGTCGTAACCGCTGCAAGTAGGAACTGTTCAGGACCGTGGGGTCGTAGGGAACGTGATGGTGGCTGTGTTTGCCATAATTGCGGTCCTGGTATGGATACTATGTGCTATTTTGTTATGGAAAAATGCACAGGTGGATTTAGTTTTCCAGTTTTTATCATGCATTATCAAAAATGTCACTGGTTGGGGTAACAAATCGAATGCAAATCACTTACAGTTTTTCTCGCCTCTGTACCTTACTTGCTCTCTCCGAGCTGGAATCCGACGACACTGTTCGACGAGCTCGAAGACAATAAACAAGCCTGCTTCAATGCTGTTTTCTTTGTTTATTTCGTTGTCCCGTTGCTCCATCGCGAAGGGAGGTTAATTTTATATTCATTTCATTTTAATTTTAACACTAAACTATATAATAATAAGTATAATTTGTGCACATTTTATGTAGGACCGATGTTTTCGCCACGAAAAACGACGCTATAATGACGGTAAGCGTTCGTGCCTAAAAGTCATTGGTTCGCTACCCGCAAACTAGATGGCAGCACAGGCGCCGGAAGTAAGATGGGAGGTAGTATTTTGGACCGGAAACGTCACAAAAAGGATGATGCTTGACTCAAGATGGATTCCGGATATCGAACGG